AAGGCTTGTTCTTATTTCTTGTAAAAAAAGCCATGCCCAGTGTTAAAAGACATTAAAAACTTTACAGACAACATTTTCACAGGGCCAAGCGAGCGTATTGTTTCAGTCTCGTCCCGGTGCGAGAATTGGACGAATTCGTGAGAGATTTATCCGGTGGATAGCGTTTCCTGGTGCCTGATCTGTCAAGACCACGAGATCATTATGAAGATTAGCACCTTTGGGACCAAGTGGACTGTCAGTAATAGAGATGTCCGTGAGGCGCGTTTTCTTATGGGGGTAACGCAATATTTTGAGTCTTAAGCTAATACTTTGCCCTTGATTTATTGCAGATGAGTGCCCTACGCCCGGTTGTTATCTTCCTGATGGATGCCCACACGGTCTTGCTAGAAATAAATATGGATGCATAACATGTGAATGCGCAGGTGAGTGCTGAGTGAAATGCGCATCGGTGATTAGCCGTGGATATTTAACAATCATAAAGGTTGAAAATACCGGCGTAAAAAATAATGAAGATGAATTACATTGCTTTTCATAATACGCCACTTTCACATCTCCCATAGTGCACCTCATTTGCACCCAACACTTTGCATAACCTTTGTTTTTCATTTCTCCTGTGTATTACAGCCGTCCCATGAGAAACTGAAAACAATGCTTATGCAAATAAGGTGCATTATGGGAAATGTGCAAGTGGGGTATAAACATACCCAGGAGGTCCCTAGTTTGGGTCTTATATCAAAGCGGCCTTCGTTTTGATAAATCAAAAGGTGTTGCTCTGTCATAACACTGTGTGTCATGTAAAATAGACCGTCTAACACAAATCAACTTCACAAGGCACCCTTATGCTGGTGTAACAGAAGGAGCCTAACACTTTATTGGATAACGCCGGTGCTGTCCATATCGTCTGCGTGCGCAGTGAATAGGTAGTCAGCGCAACCCTGTTGGAAAACTTAAGCGTTTATGATATACGGTGTTTTCACATGACGTCACGGCGGCCATATTGGTGTCCCAAAACAATGAAACGGCGGCCATGTTGATGTCCCAAGCCAATCCTCTGGGAGCTAAACTCTTTTCTTATGCAAACGCTTTCTTTTGTTCCAATAAATTTGCATAGATGCTGGCCACGTGAGTGAAAACACTCTATATAAGCCCCTTAGCGCAGCTTTAAAAATACGTACCATTCTGGGATTAAACTGTGCCCATCCAACCCGCTCCTAACGCAACATTTTGTTCTTAGTTAGAAGTTAAAAAGTGTTAGCTTTGATTAGGGGAAGGGTAGGTACCAGAATCTAATACTGTTAAGGATTTTTTTTAAAGAAATCACCAGGTGCCCATTATGTGACTAGTGTGATACTTATTTTCCACCCATTGATTTTCAATCGGAAATGCAATAATTGTCGCGGTCTGCAATATTGTACTATTTGTACGTCTTCCAGCATACCGCATGCAATCAGATCCTACGCCTTGACCTCTAGTTTGAGCGTGTTCTGCCTCTGATCCCTGCTACAACTGTTTTCTTGTTCGCAGGTGTGGCAGCCATCACTGTCCAGTTTTCCAGTCTCCTCTTCATTGCGATCGCCTTGCTTTACAATTTCATGTAGAAATAGACTTTTCCCTTTGTTACTGGCTTTTGGCTGATCTGTTACAAAACAGAAGAGGGCGAGACGAAACCGAGTTGTTGTTTCGTTTTTAGCCCTTGAGGAAATAATGTCTTACGTTTCGTTTTCGATGCACCTTCCAGTTTTCAATGCCTTGAAAAAATAAAACTATTGGTCGTTTGTAAGTAAAATAAAACGGAATTAGAAAATCATGTTGCAGTTTCAAACTATATTGATAATAGCTGGCACAACGCAGGCCCGATTTGCTACATTTGCAAATAATTATTTCAACAGACACAAAACTGAAGCGTATTTTGAGAAGTGAAATTTTGATTCAGTTTAAGCAAAGTTGCTCTCTCGTCAGTTATAATCTATTATTTCAAAATACACCGATATGTGATTTAAAGGAAACAAATTTCTTTAACTTAAATATTTAGTTACACAGGAGTCCATAATTAGTTACGTAGTCATCTACTTGAATGTTTTTCCGTGACGTATCACTGAACCCACGTTTTGTTTTTTTAAGAAAGAAAATGTAGTAGTGTAGTATTGTACATTGCCAATAAATGCAAATTAATTATCTCACGCTAGACTCGTAGTTTTATCTATTATTTTAACGTCAAAACGTTTGTTTCTGTGAAGAAACTGAAGGATGATTCTCATTTTGATCCTTAACTTTGTGCTCGGTAAAGTTTATCATGGAGCCCTCGCGCCAAGACAAGTTTATCAAGTAACTCATGAAACGCCGTTCGCTATATTTTAATTCACTTTCTCCACAAATCAAAAAGTCGTCCAGTTTGACTTAATTGCATAGCGTTTCAACCAGAGATCTCCAACAGTGTCAGTAAATCGGGACCGGCGAAGTTCTGTCGAAGGTATAGCTCGAAGTTGTAGATCGTAGTAGTTCGACGTGTCAGATCAATCCTCGCTTTGAAACAGAGGCTTGACGCAACTAGAAAATGGCCTGTTGCAGATTTTTGGTGTCTGGCGTTTTTCTTCAGAACGAGGGTCGAGATGCGTGCCGCTGTGCATGTCTTTCCTTTATGTTTCGCTGCAAGTTTATATTGGCGAGGTTGTGCATGAAGACAACTTTTTTATTAGTACTTGTTGAATTCGAAGGTAAGTTATCAGTATAATTCATTTGCAATGATTTCGCCCTGTTTTGCAGTAGAATAGATGGAGATCTCGAAAAATATGTCAGTTTTTTGCTGGGAAAAGCTTTTTCTGCGGAAGTTTTTAAACCAAGTTTCTAAGATCACTGAAGCTAACTAGTGTTTAGTTGTCGTGATAGTCGAGCTATTAGGGAGCTTAAGCAAAGACGACGGCAACTAGAATGACAAAAAAGCAATGAGTGTCATAGATTTACTCAGATTAGCAAAACAGAACTTTGCACGTGGATCACAATACACTTCTTTGCCGTCGTTGCACGATGAATTTGGATTTATATGAGAATATAAACTGGGACGTATATCCGGATGTGTACATGCAGTAAGCTGCTGCCTGTATCAGAAACCAGTTTTGAAGAAACCGTTTTCAAAAATGATTGCGTATTCTCTTTCTGATATATGCAAAATTGCCTTTCGTGCTTTTACGTGCGTTAATTAGTTAACGCATGCTGATTGCCTAAGAACATGAAAAGCTCGAAATTTTTAACGAATTCAATTCATTTTCTGTTCTGATAAACTCATGAGAAGTACTTACCTTTCCCATAACGCAAGGCATTCAGTTCCTTACCTGTCTTTTGAAAGCCGAGTATCGTTTGTCTGTAAACAGAAGGACGGTTTGTCCCATTCGTATTTCGGCGTTTTTCTTCCATTGCCTGTGGGCAAATCCCATTTCTCCAGATTGATAACAGGCTAATCACAGTCCCCACTACTACCCGACATCAAGAACTGCTGTATAACAAATAACTATGTGTAGAGAGCTTTAGATTTGAGGACGAGAACGAGCGAGTACGAGATTTAACTTAAAGTTTTTGCGCGTGTTCTAACAAAGAACACCCCGGAAAGCTTCCTTTTTTTCTTTTTTTCACCAAAAAATTTATCACGGTTAATTTATACTGAAGGAGGTTACGCTCTCTCCCGATAGCAAAATGATAAAACGTCTCACATTTGATGACTCATTCCCGGCACTACGACATTCTCGCTAAAATTTGTAGTAGACTGACGATGGCCACAAATTTTCCCGCCAAAATGACGTTGGTTCGCCCGCGCGCACTACTTAGTATTAGCAGACACTCATAAGGGGTTGGAATCCCCTTATGAGTTTCTGGTATTAGTAAAATCTCGTTCTCGTAGTCGTCCTAGTCCTAGAATCTAAAGCTCTCTAGCGTTGAATGTACGACCGCCTGTTTTCACCTGCAGGCCAAACGGCATGATGTCAACACCGACGTTAGTAACATGGCTTATATGGAGCCTAGGTGTGCTTTACGTTGAGAATGCCGAAGCAGACACTCGACTTCCCTGTCCAAGTGTGCAGAGGGACTTTTATCCCGGAGTTGCACCTCAGGATTCATCACCACCCTAAGTACTTAACGTGACTGACAAAGATGGTCAGCCTCTTTATGATCTGCGTTACCAAACGGGAGATGCTACACACCTAAGTAAGATTTGGAGTGTGGGTACAGGAGAAAATTAGCTTGATTTGAAGGCTAATATTGAGCGTTTTCTCATGACGTCACGTCCGTTATTTTTGTGTCCCAATTGAAACGGCTGTCAGTCCTGTGGGAGATGAACCTTTTGCTTACGTAAAAACTTTCTTTTGTTCCAATAAATTTGCATAGCTACTGGCCACGTGACAGGAAAGGCTCTGGGGTTATGTTTAGGGATATCCTTAGTTACACCAAAGGAATCCAGTACGTTCCAAGATGAAGCTGCTAAACTCTTCAATAAACCACCTTCATTAGTTAGAAACTGCTCAGATTTTAGTACTTTTTCTAAAGCGACATTTGACTATGTAACGGAAACTGAGAATTAACAAAACATAGCTGTACATAGTATAATTGTATTTTATTTTGTATTATACATAAATTTTTGAGGAAGGAGGGCATTGTTATCCTGACATAGTTTTTAGAATAGTTTCTTTTAAATTCCTAGTAATGTAATAGTTAGTCTTTTTGTTTTGTTTTTTGTTACACTTATTTTCTTTTATCATCTAGGTGAAGAGCCACCTTTATGGAAATATTGGAAATAAAGTTATTATAATTATTAATTAATTAATAATAATTATTATTATTTGTTTCCCAATGTCCTTCAATGTCATTCATTGATGTTGTTTCTCCATTTCCTATCTTTCATCCTTTCAGTCTCGCTGAGTGGCCAGCAAACCGGAAATAAAACAGAGACGTTTGTGGGGTTCATCTTAAACGTATACAACGAGTTTGAAGATGAACCAAGTGGTCATTTTATGGCACCACTGCCTCAGGGAGTGAAGAAAGCAGAGTGTCATTACAAAAACCGGTCTTTTATGGTAAGTCGCATATACTAGTTTCATTTTTCACAACTCCATAAATCAAATTACAGTCAACTCTCTCGTCACTGACCATCCGGCTTGGTGTACAACAGAGTGGTCGCTTACTCGAGGTGGTCTTTTTCGGGAAAAATCAAGAAAATAACCTCAAACTGAACTGATTAACATAGTCACATAAAGTTAATACCTAAAAAGCTCAAACTTAGGCAAATTAAACTGCTGGCAATAACCTTGTACATCGAATAGCGCTTGGAGCTGTTGAAACTTTGTACATAACGTTTTGCAGCAATATTACAATCCACTCTTTTACATTACAGCCATTTTTCGTAAGTGAGTTGTTATAATATGTCAGCACGCTTTCTCACCGCTATCAAAAATGAACTTTTGTGACTTTTTCTTTCTCCTTCTAAACTGGTGCGGTCCCCAAGAAATCAACTCCTGGAAAATTCGCCTACGTTTGACATTTACAGCGAATTAGAACAAACGCGCAAAGTTTGAAGAAACGCGAATTCAATTTAAAAAAAGTGACGTTTTTGCTGCCGTCGCCGTCGTATATATAGTACGGCGGGACAATAGCCGTCGTGTACGAACACACGAAAAGAACTCTGGCGATGCTGTTCGCCGATTGGGCACAATAATACAAAGCATTTTTTGTGCCCAATCAGGAGCCAGCATTTGCTTGACCGTTTGGAAATGGTCCGGTGACAATTGGTACCCAGGGGCTTTTCCGCTCGTGCTTGAATACTTTCGTCGCACCTTTTCTCCTGACCTGACCGACTGCCCCTGGGTCTCCGAGGATGATCACATAGCTATGCGGGATGAAAATTTAAGGCAATATGAAATCCATTCACCAAAGCGAGTTTAAGCAGCGACACTTTTGGGCGACGCACATCGACCTGACGTGCATTTTTGCACTTTTCAGCCGTGATTTTCAATAAATGTTTGGTCAAATCGTCTCTATAAGAGAAAAAAAAATCTTCAGAGCATTAAAAATTGGTAGGGTCAAGGCAAGTTAAAGAGAAAAAGGCTCACTTCCGGTTGACTAGCGTCGCTCAAAAACGTCGCTCCTTAAACTCCCTAATAAATCCTAACGAACACGTGTTTTCAGAATGAAGTGGTAATGAACTCTACTGGCAAAGAGTGGACTGATCTCCAAATTCAATGTAAGTCTCCATAGAAGTACCCAGCATGACATCAGGTGAGGCTAATGTGATTTGCAAAAATTGTAAAAAGGCGTCGCTGGCAAAATATTATGTTACCAGCACCAGTGAAGAACATCAGGTGTTGTAAACTGGAAATAACCAAAGATTAGGGAATGCAAGCGAGATTGATCAAAGGCCAAAACGCTTTAGCCCTAAAGTTTATACTTTCCTTTCATGTGAAAGAAGGTTAAAATGCGCGTGAACAGATTTCAAGTGTGAGAAGGTCCAAACGGGCATGATCAGAAAGCTTCTATAGCATCCATTCATTCTTTATAGTGGCAATAAAAGAAGAGGGCCAACATACGTGGCGCGCATGGGTAATAGGAACCTGAAAATTTGGATTGCGGACTCCTCTGGTGGCACACCTAAGAAAGAGTGGGCCTATTCCGATTGTGCTAGGTAATTGCGGAAAGTTGCTCAAAGAGATACCAAAAATAATTCCCAGTCAAACAAGCTAAAACATGCTTACCTCCATCGATGTTAAGTTCATCTTCGATACTGCAAGTTAATCGGCCAGTTTAGAAGCTTAAGGGTTGTTCAGCTCCTCAAATATTCTCCAAATAGCAAATGTCGCCCTTCGAGTTATCTTCACGCTGTTCTTGCTTTTTTTTAGCCAATAGTTCGCCTAATTCTTCCTGGCGAAACGAGTGAAATGTCCGCCATTTTTGTTCTCACCATCAAAACTACCTGACCACGTCCCCAGATCATCTCGGTTAACGGTTCAATAATCCGCAAATTTGCTGCACTCTCAGCAACGTCTGATTCGACCGACCGTTAATGCCGTGCAGTGACGTCACTACCCCAAAACTGGGTAGTGATTTTGAACGGTAGATTGTCTAAACATTCGCAAAATTATGTAAAATTATGAGAAATTTTAGCGACATTGTCGCTTGATATAAGGTGTATATAAGGTGTATATTAGGTGTAGATGTATATAAGGTGTATAGAGGTGCATATCACGTGTGTATAAGTGTATATAGAGAGTAAATAAGGTGTATAGAGGTGTATATAAGTCGATATAAGGTTTGTATAGAGTGTATGTAAAAGTATATAGATGTATACGGGTGTATATAGAGTGTATATGTCGATGACGTGGGCATGACATTATAAACATTTTAGGCCTAATTATCGCTCTTAACAGTTTATTACATTAAGACTGTTACATTAAGGGCAAAATGTTATTACATCTACGACTTTATTACATTTAGGGTCGTTTTACGTTTAGGCCTTCTAAAACAATATTTTGCAAAGAAAAAAAAATCCCTGCCAAAAGTTTGGCAGATCCTGATACCAGAAAGAGAAATTACAAATTTTGTTCGTTACGTGAATATTGAAATTGCATTGATCAAAGTTGCTTTTTAGCTTCATGGGCGTTCAAACTCAGTGAGGGAACGTGCTTGAGGTCATTATTTTTTCCTTTCTCTTCAGCGCCAGCGTTATTAAAGAGTATGGTGTTTACTGGGATGAAATTGGTGTGACTTTGAACTGTAAGTCTTCAGTTTTCTCTGCATCTCTGCATAGAAGGAGAAATAGTACTTTTCCAGGCGGGCACATTGTCCTTTTCGGCTTTTTAGCCTTCTTTCGAGTAGAAAATGGCGGTTAAATTCGCACTTGTCAACTGCAGTAAATTGGCAGGACTTAGGGCGACGTCGAGGTTGAGCTGGGAGGACTTCTGAACATTGCTTCAAATATCTTGGCCATTTTCTCTGCATTAAGGTTTCGAAGGGAATATTATGTTCCCCTTAGCTAGCAGAACACTGTCAGGTGGATTTGTCAAAACATGTTGAAGGCGCCTTGCAAGCTTGTTGAAAGTTTTATTCGATATCCTTTTGCCTGTTGGCGGATGAATGTTAGAGGAATGTTTAAACGGGCCTCGAAATACAGGCTAAACGTACTATCAAACAAGTTTTTTTTAGGTATGATAATATTTGTTATTAATAATAACTCTTGATTACTGCAGTCTGGTGCCCTAAGACTGGTTGCCGTCCTGAAATCTGCCCTCATGGTTTTGTAACAACCAAATTTGGATGCATAACATGTGAATGCGCAGGTCAGTATAGCTGCTTCTCCAACAGGGTTCCGTTTGGTGTTTGTTTCTGTTCTGCCATGAGCTACGTAAGGACCGCTATCATTCACTCTATCCAGCATTTCCCCTCGAGGTCTTCCAGGTGGTCTCCCTCCTTATATTCCGTTGGGAATTACAATAAAATAGAAATAATTTAATAAACAGACTTCTTTGCGGAGGAGAGTCATTAAAGGAAGTGCGTGTGGATAAATGTGGTTTTCGCTGGTTATAAACAATGCCATTTTTTCAATTAACGCAATTGCCTAATTTTATTAATAAGACAGCCTATGAAAACAATATGAAGCATCCACTCTCTGAATTCAAGATTGAATAGCGTTTGTGTATATTAATATTAGTAATTTATCTAGATAAAGAAATGTTGAACGACCCATGCTTAGGTCAGGTATTAACCCTTAAAACAAACACGCGTGGGTTTTCGTGTCTAGCGTGTTACGCTCGACAGATTATGAAAAAAAGAGACTGCTCGTAGTCTAGCCTGAGTGAAGTTAAACTGCAAGTTGTATTACACCGTAAGTTCTGTTTTGGGCTTGTGTACTCTAAGCTACATTGTTTTTTCTTGTTTGAAGGTGTGGCAGCCATTACTGTCCAGTTTGCCAGTTTGATTTTGAGCGTTTTCGCCTTGAATTACAGTTTCATGTAACACAGAATCCTCGCGAGCGTCTGTCGGGCGTCTGTCACGTTAACCTCTGTTACAGAATACAGCAGCTGACTAGCGACAAGACTACACAGAAGCGATAAGATTACACCCAGGAGATGCTACACACCTAAGTAAGATTTGGAGTGTGGGTACAGGAGAAAATTAGCTTGATTTGAAGGCTAATATTGAGCGTTTTCTCATGACGTCACGTCCGTTATTTTTGTGTCCCAATTGAAACGGCTGTCAGTCCTGTGGGAGATGAACCTTTTGCTTACGTAAAAACTTTCTTTTGTTCCAATAAATTTGCATAGCTACTGGCCACGTGACAGGAAAGGCTCTGGGGTTATGTTTAGGGATATCCTTAGTTACACCAAAGGAATCCAGTACGTTCCAAGATGAAGCTGCTAAACTCTTCAATAAACCACCTTCATTAGTTAGAAACTGCTCAGATTTTAGTACTTTTTCTAAAGCGACATTTGACTATGTAACGGAAACTGAGAATTAACAAAACATAGCTGTACATAGTATAATTGTATTTTATTTTGTATTATACATAAATTTTTGAGGAAGGAGGGCATTGTTATCCTGACATAGTTTTTAGAATAGTTTCTTTTAAATTCCTAGTAATGTAATAGTTAGTCTTTTTGTTTTGTTTTTTGTTACACTTATTTTCTTTTATCATCTAGGTGAAGAGCCACCTTTATGGAAATATTGGAAATAAAGTTATTATAATTATTAATTAATTAATAATAATTATTATTATTTGTTTCCCAATGTCCTTCAATGTCATTCATTGATGTTGTTTCTCCATTTCCTATCTTTCATCCTTTCAGTCTCGCTGAGTGGCCAGCAAACCGGAAATAAAACAGAGACGTTTGTGGGGTTCATCTTAAACGTATACAACGAGTTTGAAGATGAACCAAGTGGTCATTTTATGGCACCACTGCCTCAGGGAGTGAAGAAAGCAGAGTGTCATTACAAAAACCGGTCTTTTATGGTAAGTCGCATATACTAGTTTCATTTTTCACAACTCCATAAATCAAATTACAGTCAACTCTCTCGTCACTGACCATCCGGCTTGGTGTACAACAGAGTGGTCGCTTACTCGAGGTGGTCTTTTTCGGGAAAAATCAAGAAAATAACCTCAAACTGAACTGATTAACATAGTCACATAAAGTTAATACCTAAAAAGCTCAAACTTAGGCAAATTAAACTGCTGGCAATAACCTTGTACATCGAATAGCGCTTGGAGCTGTTGAAACTTTGTACATAACGTTTTGCAGCAATATTACAATCCACTCTTTTACATTACAGCCATTTTTCGTAAGTGAGTTGTTATAATATGTCAGCACGCTTTCTCACCGCTATCAAAAATGAACTTTTGTGACTTTTTCTTTCTCCTTCTAAACTGGTGCGGTCCCCAAGAAATCAACTCCTGGAAAATTCGCCTACGTTTGACATTTACAGCGAATTAGAACAAACGCGCAAAATCCGGTTGACTAGCGTCGCTCAAAAACGTCGCTCCTTAAACTCCCTAATAAATCCTAACGAACACGTGTTTTCAGAATGAAGTGGTAATGAACTCTACTGGCAAAGAGTGGACTGATCTCCAAATTCAATGGAAGTCTCCAAAGAAGTACCCAGCCGGAAAAATTCACATCAGGTGAGGCTAGTGTGATTTGCAAAATTGTGAAAAGGCGTCGCTGGCAAAATATTATATTACCAGCACCAGTGAAGAACATCAGGTGTTATAAACTGGAAATAACCAAAGATTAGGAAGTGCAAGCGAGGTTGATCAAAGGTCAAAACGCTTTAGCTCTAAAGTTTATACTTTCCTTCCATGTGAAAGAAGGTTAAAATGCGCGTGAACAGATTTCAACTGGGAGAAGGTCCAAACGGCCATGATCAGAAAGCGTCTATCATAGCATCCATTCATTCTTTATAGTGGCAATAAAAAAAAAAGGCCAACATGCTTGGCGCGCACGCGTAATAGGAACCTGGAAATTTGGATTGCGGACTCCTCTGGTGGCCCCCCTAAGAACGAGTGGGCCTATTCCGATTGTGGTAGGTAATTGCGGAAAGTTGCTTAAAGAGATACCAAAAATAATTCCCAGTCAAACAAGCTAAAAAATGCTTACCTCCATCGATGTTTTAACATGAACTTAAAAGTTCATCTTCGATACTGCAAGTTAATCGGCCAGTTAAGAAGCTTAAGGGTTGTTCAGCTCCTCAAATATTCTCCAAATAGCAAATGTCGCCCTTCGAGTTATCTTCTTGCTGTTCTTGCTTTTTTTCAGCCAATAGTTCGCCTAATTCTTCCTGGCGAAACGAGTGAAATGTCCGCCATTTTTGTTCTCACCATCAAAACAACCTGACCACGTCCCCAGATCATCTCGGTTAACGGTTCAATAATCCGCAACTTTGCTGCACTCTCAGTAACGTCTGATTCGACCGACCGTTAATGCCGTCCAGTGACGTCACTACCCGAAAACCGGGTAGTGATTTTGAACGGTAGATTGTCTAAACATTCGCATAATTATGTATAATTATGAGAAATTTTAGCGACATTGTCGCTTGATATTCAGTGGATAGGTGTATATAAGGTGTATAGAGGTGCATATCATGTGTATATAAGTGTATAGAGAGAGTAAATAAGGTGTATAGAGCTCGAGGTGTATATAAGGTTTATATAGAGTGTATGGTAAAGTATATAGATGTATACAGGTGTATATAGAGTGTATATGTCGATGACGTGGGCATGGCGTTATAAACATTTTAGGCCTAATTATCGCTCTTAACAGTTTATTACATTAAGACTGTTACATTAAGGGCAGAATGTTATTACATTTACGACTTTATTACATTTAGGGTCGTTTTACGTTTAGGCCTTCTAAAACAATATTTTGCAAAGAAAAATAAGTCCTTGCCAAAAGTTTGGCAGATCCTGATACCAGAAAGACAAAATTACAAATTTTGTTCGTTGCGTGAATATTGAAATTGCATTGATTAAAGTTGCGTTTTAGCTTCATGGGCGTTCAAACTCAGTGAGGGAACAGTGCTTGAGGTCATTATTTTTTCCTTTCTCTTCAGGGCCAGCGTTATTAAAGAGTATGGTGTTTACTGGGATGAAATTGGTGTGACTTTGAACTGTAAGTCTTCAGTTTTCTCTGCGTCTCTGCATAGAAGGAGAAATAGTACTTTTCCGGGCGGGCACGTTGTCCTTTTCGGCCTTTTATCCTTCTTTCGAGTAGAAAATGGCGGTTAAATTCGCACTTGTCAACTGCAGCTAATTGGCAGGACTTAGGGCGACGTCGAGGTCGAGCTGGGAGGACTTCTGAACATAGCTTCAAATACCTTGGCCATTTTCTCTGCATTAAGGTTTCGAAGGGAATATTATGTTCCCCTTAGTTAGCAGAACACTGTCAGGTGGATTGTTGAAACATGTTGAAGGTGCCTTGCAAGCTTGTTGAAAGTTTTATTCGATATCCTTTTGACTGTAGGCGAATGAATGTTAGAGAAATGTTTAAACAGGCCTCGAAATACTGGCAAACGTACTATCAAACAATTTTTTTAGGTATGATAAGATTTGTTATTAATAATAACTCTTGATTACTGCAGTCTGGTGCCCTTTAACTGGTTGCCGTCCTGAAATCTGCCCTCATGGCTTTGTCACAACGAAATTTGGATGCATAACATGTGAATGCGCAGGTCAGTAAAGCGCTCTTGCTTCAACCTCGTTCCCAGGGTTCTCTCCTACAATGTTACTGTTCTGCCCTAAGCTACGTAAGGGCCGCTATCATTCACTCTATCCAGCATTCCCCCTCAAGATCTTCCAGGTAGTCTGCCTCCTTATATTCCATTGTTGGGTATTACAATAAAATACAAATAATTTAATAAACAGACTTCTTTGCGGAGGAGAGTCATTAAAGGAAGTGCGTGTGGATAAATATGGTTTTCGCTGGTTATGAACAATGCCATTTTTTCAATTAACGCAATTGCCTACTTTCATTAATAAGACAGCCTATGAAAACAATATGAAATATCCACTCTCTGAATTCAAGATTGAATAGCGTTTGTGTATATTAATATTAATAATTTGTCTAGATAAAGAAATGTTGGACGACCCATGCTTAGGTCAGGTATTAACCCTTAAAACAAACACGCGTGGGTTTTCGTGTCTCGCGTGTTGCGCTCGACGGATTATGAAAAAAAGAGACTGCTCGTAGTCTAGCCTGTGTGAAGTTAAACTGCAAGTTGCATTACACCGTAAGTTCTTCTGTTTTGGGCGTGTTTACTCTAAGCTACATTGTTTTTTCTTGTTTGAAGGTGTGGCAGCCATTACTGTCCAGTTTGCCAGTTTGATTTTGAGCGTTTTCACCTTGAATTACAGTTTCATGTAACACAGAATCCTCGCGAGCGTCTGTCGGGCGTCTGTCACGTTAACCTCTGTTACAGAATACAGCAGCTGACTAGCGACAAGACTACACAGAAGCGATAAGATTACACCCCTTGCTCTGTTTCAAGTTCTGTACCCATTTTAGAAAACTTTCAAATGTTATGTTTCTTTTGTTAAAATACTTCCAGCAGTAAAAACATCAGACCGAACCTTTTGCGGTGGGGCCTCGGTATATTCCCCGCTTTTTATACAAGCTCAGGAGCCTAGGCATGTTATGTCTGATATGGCTTTGTAGCAGTTTTTTAGCGGTCCGAAATACTCCTCGTTTGGGGGCTGGAGAGCAAGAAAAGATAATACCTGATTATTATATACTAAGCAAGCATGTGTCTGCTAAAGGAATGCTTTTATAGCAGTAGTATAGGACAATGTATGCAGATTAGAGAATTGCAGTGGAAACTGTTACATTTAAAAACAAAAAAAA